GTTTCTTTTGTGAGGGGAGCATGTCCCTCTTTTTAAAAAATTTCCCGCTTTAAAAAATTTCTTTTTAACCCTTGGTTGGGTTTTTTTACAAAAAATTTCAGGAATTATTTCTTTTAAGGGGGTTTCCTCTAAAAAAAGTTATGCAAAAAGTTTTTAAATTTAATGCCCCTTTAGTTTGAATTTTATTTTTGACAAAAAGAAAAACGTCCCCAGAAAAAATAAAATTTATTGTCTGTTTGTGAGTTAGATATCTTTTTAAAGGGAAAAACCAAATTTAAATGGGCCCCTTTCAAAAATTTTTATATTATATCAAAACTCAAAAAAGTTTAAATTGGTCCCATCGTTTTGTCCTTTTTTATGTTTATTTATTATACAGGGGAAAAAAACCTTTTTAAATTTTTTTTGGGGAAATTTTTCCAAAACTTTTAGAGTTGGAAATTTGATTTAAAACTTTTTCTTAGTGGGTTTTTTAAAAGGGAAAGTAAATTTCATTAATTACTTTACGTTTTTCATTAAAAAAAATTTTTGACATTTGCTATCATTGTTTTTTGAGGGGGTTTTGAACCCGGGGCCAATTTTGGCTTTTTTTGTTTTAAAACTTTGGGCCCGTGTTATTTTTAAATTAAATTGTTGTTGTATTTTTTTTTTTCCCGGGGTGGGGGAACTTTTACTCAAACGAAGGGGATTTCCCCAAGGGAAAAAAATTTTATTTCCTTTCTTGGGGAACCCTAAAAGGTTTTTTAAAAGACCAAAATTTTGAAAAAAAATTTTATTCAGAAAAGGGGTTTTTGGGAAAATGTTTAAAAAAAAATTTTTAAAAATTAAACAAACCCAAGTTAGAAATTATTTAAAAAAAAAGAAAGAATAGATAAAATTTGAAAAAGCCCTAATGGTTAAATTTAATTTTTTAAAAACCTTTTTGAAAAACAATTCTTTTTTCAAAATTTACCTTTTAAAATTTAAAACAAATTTTTTAAAGTAGATTCCAAAAAAAAAAAGTTTTCTGTAGCAAAAATCAGTTTAAAGGGGGTTTTTGTAAAATTAAAAATAAAAAAAAATAAAGGTTTTGAAAAAAAAAACTGAAAAAAGATTTTAATTTAAAAAAAAAAGAGTATATGTTCAGTTTTGAAAGTGACTTAGTTGGGTTTGGGGGGTTTTAAAAATTTAATTTGACATGATTTGATTGGGAAATAATCCCGAAAAAAAGATTAGTTTTAGAAAGATTTTTCCCGTTGCAAAGAAAAATGGATACCGGGTGCTTTATTTTTAAAGGGGGTTTTTTGGAAAAAAGACATTATAGATTTTAATAAATTTTAAACAATTTTATTTTACCCGCAAAATATTTACAAGGGAAAAAATGTAGTAAAGAAAAAGGGAAATTAAAAGATTGCTGGGGTGGAAAATGGGGGGAAAAGGAGAACTGTCAATAATTGAAAAACAAGGGAAAATTTCCCAACCCTTTTTTTTTTTTGTAGAGAAAAAGGACATTTCTCATTTTCTGTATTTTTTTAACTTTTAGTTTATAAAATTATATATGTTAAAAATTGTGTTGTTTTTTACGTTCTTTATTTTTGTCAGTTTATTTGGTTGATTTTATTGGGCAATCATTAAATTTTAAACGATGGGACAGGGAAATTTTTAAAATGTTTAAAACAAGACATATGAAAAAATTAGAATTACATATTTAACATTTTAGTAACAGAGGGAGCCATCGGATTGGGCAAATTTCTCAATCATCGGGTCTTAATATCGCCTTACCAACAAACATCATGACACAGATGTACATTCAGAACTCCGCCCTCTACATTTACTATATGTTCAGTAGAACTGTGTCAGTATCATATGTCAAATCATTTTCGGAATCAGGTAAACTTCTTTGTTTGAAAGAACATAAAAAAGTAGACAGTTCAACGTTGCAATGACATGGATACCCATTTTTTTCACATGTACGTTTTTACACAGTATTTCATGTATTAGGTCTACAGCCTTTAAGCTACAGTCTCACATCCCGGCAGAGCCCCGGTATACGTCCGGGATGATTCGGGAACAACCGGGGTACATCCGTAACTGCCGGCAACGTCCGGGAACATCCGGCATTCGACCCTGGATTGAATAAAAAATTCAATATCACCGTGATGGTCCGGGAAGTATAGCTTTGCCGGCTTCATCCTTAGCTCTGCCGGGAACGACCGGGGAAGCACCGTAGCTCTGCCGGCACAAACCGGGGCATGATATAGCCGGTAGAGCTCAGGTGAATGCTGGCAGAGCCCAGGTGAAGGCCGGCAGAGTCCCGGAGGATGCCGGTTGAGCCCCTGACGATGACGATTGGAGCTACGGTTGATCCCGGTAGAGCTCCGGCAAAGCCCGGTTCATTTCAAAAGAATCACGTCAATTTACGATGATTTCGCTTGTTTGTATCAAACCCCCTTCCATTTCCCTTTTATCCAGTCTTGCATAAGGATTTTTCAGAAAATCATCATGAATTACTGTTCTGGAACAATAGATATATGTAATACTGAATAAAATTATGTATCAATGGAATCATTTTCGCATGTTTTCAATCCACCGGGACTCTGCCTGGATCGTCCTGGGCTCTGCCTAGATCGACCGGGGCTCTGTCTGGGTCAAACGGGGCTCTTCCGGCGTCATCTGGGAACGACCAGGGAAGCAACGGCATAAACCGTAGCTTCACCTGGGCACAGACTGCCTAGATGGTCCGGAGCGCATCCTTGGTGGTAAGTTGGGAATTACCGTAGTGCTGCCGGGGTAAGTGTGACCGCAACAATAATTTCACCCCGGATTGTCCCGGATCATCCCAGTAACTTACCGGGGTGGTTGGTGGGAGTAAGTGAGACCGCAGCTTTTAGTTTTTGAAAGTCCTGTCCTTTTGTTCAAGATTTTGTCTATCTAACTATTAAGTGATTCCCTTGACTGAGAAAAAGGAACTCTTGCTCAAAACTTATGATAAAAACGATTAACATTTTACATTATGAAACATACATCATGCTGAAAGGTTGAAGGAGTTGATTATAAATATGAAAAGAGCATGAACAAGTAATTGCAAACATGGGTATATGACTACAATTGAACTTACAGATTTACAAAAAATAGCCTTTTGACAATTTAAACGTTGATAAAAGAAGGAATGTTGAAATATAAGTACTAGATTTATATGTTATAAAACGCGTTCCCTGTTATCAAACTTGTAGTTGACCAGAGGCACCAGCCACCACATCTCAACTTACTAAATACATGTGATGGGAATATTATAATGTATATACTTCTATAATTTACTGTTAATCTTGTTAATAAATACAAGTACTTAAGAAGGCTGTTACATTGTTTTATTCAGGTTAATGTTAAAGAAATTTTGTGCTTCCGTCTACTTAATATGCCAGCAAAATACCGGAAAACGCTCATTAAGACATTTCTGATAGAAGATGAAACTGTCGTGCACATTTGTTTCAATGATATTAATTTTTATATTGCCCTCATAAAGAAGTTTTTTTAAATGATATACTGATAATATAGTGCTGTGAAAAAATAATGATGTTTGATAAGACAGAACCGAAGTATAATTTTAGTGAAGTTCCATGTTATACAAATACAAAGGGGTCACTTAATTATATTACTTAACCTGCGCATAGTTTTGCTCAAATTGGTTGTGCATGTTAATTATACTATATAAGAACAGTCCCGAGAGTGATATACCGTTTGAGTTAAGCATATACATTTAATTGTACATAAATTTCAAGCAGCTGTTTGTTTAGCACAGGTACGTTATGGATAGAGATGTGTTTATTTTATGCTACTTGTATCAGTAAGAAAGTAACACATATGAGTAACATAACTTGCATTTATTCATAGATATAAAATTACAAAAATATATAACACATTGTTAATACATGTATATGACAATACAACTTTTTAATGGAAAACAAATGTTAAAATAAAAAATATAAAGGGTTTAGTTTACTGTGGCAGTATATAACATTTAACTAAAATTGCTATTAAAATCAACGTGGTGTTGTAAATATACCGATACAAAATATATATAAAAGTATATAGGAGTACGAAAGCAGGAACAATACTGATCTCATAACATAAGTAGATTTTTCAGGGTTCCACAGTATGTTCCTTTGATAGAACAATAAACAAAAGTATTGTGTGTAAAGAAGTTAATGTTCATGGAAGAAAACAATCAAAACAGTACAATGTAAATATATCTTAGATGAACAGTATCGGGTATAGGTTACTCGCATTAGGTCAGATCGTATTGCCTATAATTTACCATCCAGTATAATGTTAGGATGGGGGCAAATAGAGGCTGATTAAAATAACATTGATAACGATGTTTGAACAATTGGATTAAATTGATGATATTTGTATTGATGTACGTTAAGTATATACACGCAGGTAAAGTTTTATAGATTTTACGCATATTATGCTCAACACACTAACCAACCAACACAGCTTACAAATACATCATTTTATACTTTAATAATTACCGTAAGTTAAAAGCACATATAATATGTCAATGGTTCAACAACTCGATCTATTTGAAACAGGGAAGTTTTGTTCATAAACGCTTATATGTTCCCGTATACTGCCCTCCTTCTTCTCCTTATGATTATAAACACAATGGTTGCGATGACTGCTATCAGGGCAGCAACAATTAATACAGCGCCCCCTGTAAAAAATGATATGTATATGTTACTGTGTATTGATATTATCTTATAGTAACATGTTTGTCTGATCACGTGATGGTTCACATAATTATAAACAAATACTCCTTATACTGAAAAGATTGGTAAAATGAAATGTGCTTCTTTAGGAATACATAAATAAATCGTCTAAAAGGCCACACGTTATCATTAAATGGTTGATTTAAATTTTAAAAATGAGAAAAAATTCTAAATATTCATCATTAATGTAAACAACACAAATGTTTTAACGGAAACCGATACATTCATCATAACTATCACAGATACTGTTTGCTTTCCATTGTGACGTTATATTCTCATAAAATGTTTGTATGGCGTATAAATAAAAGAAAGATCATCAAAGTATACTTACACCAAGGGAAGCTTGTTGATGATGACGTGGAGGAGATACATGAAATACTGAAACCTGTGGCTGTACTTGTACAACAACAATTTTTAGGCTGCCCCGTCTTTTTACTGCAACAGTACCCATCTGTAATATATACATATTATTAATTAAATAAAGATACTACATTTATGACAAAAATGACAGCTATTAAAAGATTATAAAATACAAAAATACAACCATTAGATTTGATCACTGAGAAATCAAAGAAATCTTGTTAAATATAATTATAATCTTGTTACATATATAAGTTTTTTTTTAAAGAAATAAAGTCAATGACAGCAAATAAAATAAAAATGATTTTGCTACGATAATACATACCTTTACACGGAGTTTGACCACACGTTTGACAATACTGAAAGACGTTAAATTAACAGGCATCATTTAGTTTATAGTGTCATTCATGCATTTTAACGTGTGTACATGATATATGATATGGATAATAGTCTAGTTATGGTTGAAATCAAAAGCGACTTAAAGGGACTCCACTGAGGTTTAAAAGCCTAAAACATAACATTTGAATTTCTTACATAAATGAGCTGGGGCACTTTAAACAGAAATATATGCAAAGATAGTTAAGAAATATACTTTGAAATAAATTTAAAATCGTATTTGTATGATTTTCTAAGCCTGATTTGAGTGAAAAGTGTTAAAATGCTTTTCATTTTGGGTCATTTTTTTACAATTTGAATAGTTATTCTGGAAAAACGAAGTGCGCAAATGACCTGAAATTTTGCACAAAGATCAGTGGTCTAAATCTAAATCAAATGGTACATTTATCCGGAAAAAATATTTTCAGTCCCATCATGTCAAAAAACCTCAGTGGAGTCCCTTTACTGTTGTCGTATAACGGAGGAAGAACTCACGGATGTTACATACTTTTAATATACAAAATACAAACACACAAGTGAACGAGTGGAATACCAAAACTGAACTTCCCTTCCTGGACATTTGAGAATAGTATATATAAAGACAACCTGTCATAGGGACATTTTATAATGTATATAAATACACGCGTTTTAGAGTTACATATATAAATCATCTTGACATAAGCTAGTCCGCATGCATCCTGAACTATAATACTCATAAATCATGTCATGTTCCATAGTGCACATTATGAAATAAAAACCTTAATATATGTATATACATGTTGACTTGTCATTCTTTTTGAATATAGCATGTATGACTAATTAGCCTGTGCAACCAGCTATACGACAAATATCCTCCTTATCTTACATAAAAAAAAAATATTTAAAAAAAAAAGTTTTAAACAAGGTTACTATCAAATATTTCAAACTCGTTGTAACAAATTAAAAAAAAATCTAAAATCAACTTGACATCTGTTTTACCCCTAAGGTAAGGATGTTTTACATCAACCTTTTGTTACTTTATTCTCAAAAAAAAATCGCCGAAGGTAATATCCGGTCAGAGATGTCCGGTCAGAGATGTTATCTAATGACTTTTTATTAGTTTATTTTTAAAAGAAAAAAATCACCTTAAGTCATATAATCTCTGATTGGTCAATTGTATATCGTGCGTAACCTTTTTGTTTGAATTCATTTTAATAGAAAAATTTGGATAGATACAATGTAGCACAGGTAAGTTTACTTTTGATATTAGTTTTAAAATGTTTTGAATAAGTAAAATAATAATTATTGTTAAATGTTCGATTAATCTTTATGCAAAAAAAATACAAAAATAATATGTTAAAGTAACATAAGGTAAATATTATAGCTTTATAAGTTTTTCAATAAATATTTAATTTCCTTTATTTCATCATAAAAAAAAGTTAATTTCTAGAGATCAAGAAAACATAAAAAATAAACAAATAAGTTAACAATTTTCAAAGAACAAATTATTTTAAGAATATTAATTAGAAAAACTTTAAGGTATAAAATTTAACAGAATTATGTGTATGATTAGAGTAAAAAAGATATTTATATACGAAAAAGTTTAAAAAAAATATTAAAAACAATTGATAATTGATAAAATGTCCAGGTGTTTCATTTCCTGTAAAACGTGTATTGTGCATGCGCATTGAACACTTCCTGTGACACGTATATTTTTTGTAACAGGTACTTGCTGACATCAGTATGGCTTGGTCTTCGTGACGTGTCGGGAATTTCAAATCGTTGGTATGTAGCTTTTTTAATTATAATTTTAAATTGACACTCATAATTGTTCATAAATGTTTGATGTTCTTGAAGATTCTTTTAAATTAATATATATGTATTTGATATGTGTAAACGTAGACTTTATACACAAGTTGATAAAGTTATATTCGAATATTTATTGGCACATCTGTAAACGCTGTTCTTGTTTCGTCGTAAAAAGAATGTCTTGTGAACAATACAACAAAGTGATGATAGATCTATAATTCTTCATTTATGTAGCAATGTTTTTGAGTAATAAGATAATTAAAATAATAGTTTACTGTTGCCAATTCTCGCAAATGTTTATGTGATATTTATTTTGGATATCTCTGTCGCGCACAAATAATTATTTTGATAGGAAGTTGTCATCAGTATTTCTCTGGGTTTTTGTTTTTAAGTTTATATAACACATATAAAAACACATTCTATTGATAAACGGAAGTTTTCGGCTTCTCTGGTTGAAGACAGGAACAAAAGTTTATTTGATTCCACAATTTTGTTGTTGTTGTTGTTGTTGTTGTAGACGGCTGTAACAGCATAGTTATGTATTTTAAACATTGTAGACGCTTATTTCATATAATATTACATCGAAGAAGGTGTTTATGGTTATATCTGCATGGTTTTACATCGAAGAAGGTGTTTATGGTTATATCTGCATGGTTTTACATCGAAGAAGGTGTTTATGGTTATATATGCATGGTTTTTGTTGTACATAGTTTGACATCGTAGAGGCTGACTGTAATATTTCTAGTCAGGCGGTGTTTGACTGTACCGGCGAATTCGCTCGCACCTCTCTGTCTTGGCTGGACGACAAGTGATCGTTAGACCAATATTTTGCATTTTCGTCCGTTGTCAGATCGGTTAATAGATATTATATACAATAAACAGAATTTTGTTTTTTTTTCAGATATTTGAACAACAAGACAACTGTCATAAAATGCATAGGATAAGAATTCCAATGAAAGATGTTCTCTAGTGTAAGTATCTTATTTATGTAATACTTCATATTTAAATTTTTTTTTTTACTTTTCTAGACATATTTTGTTAGTTTTAACTAAGCTATTAACTTTAGTTTATTTCGACAATAAGACTTATCCCAATTTAAACTTTATTTAATGATTGTGCGTTGACAGTTGAAACATGTATGTATACACATGCTATTCTAATATGAAATAAAGTAAATAATCAATTTGAAACTCATGATTAAGTGCTGTCATTTACTTTGAAATGCATTTAAATTAACCGATCTATTAATAAACATAGAGCGAATAACGATCATTTTAATCAATAAAAAAAATCAAAGATATATATTTCTAATAAAAGCAAGTTGAAAATTGATATAAATGAATACAACCACCAAAACTATAAAGATATATGATTAAATAATGTAATTTCCTGTTTTGTTTTATTATCGTTTCTTGTAACATATATATTTTTTCTTTCTATAATAACTATTTACAATGCCTGAGGTCAATTTACCGAAAATTAATATAGCATATAACACGGAATATAACGTTCTATAGAGATATAGCATACTGGCTAATCCTTGTAAAAACATTTTAACATTCGGTTTCAAGCGTTTATTATTATTATGTACCTTTGTGTTTACCTTACCAGATACTTTATATCGTGGTTTTACAATACTTTTCTTTTTAGTAGAAACAGAGTTTATAAACATCTCATTATCGGAATCATTATCATCAGCCATTGAATCTGACTGAATAGCATTATATGTTGCTTGTGACGGAGGATTGCTATTTACTTGTATGGAATTTGAGTCTGATAATTCTGAATCAGTCTGCGATTGCATTTCTTCTGAATGTGCATTACTTTGAGCATTTTCATTATTTGAAATTTGTTGTAGTTGTTGAAGATGTTTCTGTAATTCGGCTAATGGAATATCATCTTCACTATCAGAATTTGACCTTTCTTTTCTAACATTCTTAGCAACTTGGGGTAATACTGATTCTGGTATTTCTGAAGCATCATCAGTATCGCTATTTTCAGGTGTAACTACAAATGTGGCATTTCTTTTTGGTCGGCCAGTATTATCTGCTTTTGGTATTGACCAGTCATTAATATTTGCAAGCCTAATTTGTTCTGCATGGACTTTAACTGTTGAATTGTCAAATTGATTTTTTATTATATAAGTTAATGGTGACCTTTTTCTCCATAATTCTATAAAATGGCTTCCAATTCACATCTAGTTTGCTTCTCTTACGAAAATTCTTATAAAATACGGGATCGCCTATTTCAAATTTGATATCTTTTGCGGTCTTATCTGCATAGCTAGCTTGTTCTCGTTTTGCTTTTTTAAGGTTCTTATAAACAGATAGAAAAGTATTATGTTGTTCTTGTAATGCAATTTTGTGATACTCTTCGCCATGATAGCGCTGCCTTGGTTGTAGCAACAGGTCCACCGGGAGAATTGGATCACGATTATATAACAAATAAAATGGACTATGCTTTGAAGTCCTAGAGACATTGAATCTAAGTGCGGCTAGTGTCATGTTAAGATGAATATCCCATTGTTTGAGATTTCCCTGGATTCTTTTAGCTAAGATATCATGTATGACATGGTGAGAACGTTCATTTTTCGCGTTTCCGGCAGCATGATAGGTAGTTGTACGCACGTGATCAATTTTTAACTCTTTAAGTGTTTCTTTAAAAGCATTACTTGTGAATTCTGATCCATTGTCAGTGACAATTTGTAATGGACATGCGTATCTAGGGTAAATTTCTTCTAATAGTAAATGTATAATTGTATCAGTACTTTTGTCAGCAGTAGGGAAACACTCGGGATAACCACTGTAAAGGTCAATAAAACATATAATGTAGCGATTACCACTCATTGTTTTCTCATATGGCCCTATAACGTCGATACTCATGGTCTGGAATGAATACATTGGTACTCTTGTTTCGCCCATAGGTGCTTTTATTTTTGTAAGATTACGTGACTGACAATCAACACATTTAGAAACATATTCATACAATTCTTTGAACATATTTGGCCAAAAAATATTTTTGTTTTATTGTTGTAAATAACCTCTGTGTTCCTGGGTGACCATTATTTAAATGATATTGAGTAATGACAAGGTGTTTTAAGTGTTGCGGAACAAACAATCTAAGATTAGGATTATCATCTACATTAGACAGATAATAAAGAACTTGATCAATTTCTAAATATTTGTTCTGCACTGATTTAGTTGGCTGTCCGTGACGTAGTAACATTTTCAGTTCAAGAATAGTTTGATCTTTATCTTGCTCTGAGGCCATATTTAATTTTTCGAATTGTTTAATATCTTCTACAATTGGCTCTTGAAATTGGTATTCTTTGTTTGCTATTTCTTTGGCATTAAAGTGCGTAGAATCAAAAGCATTTACTTCATAGCTTTCATCAGTTTTCACCACATGTACATTATCATTATTTGAATTATTACTTGAATTTGAGACTGTTATTTCAAAGGCATTGTCATTTATATCAGGCTCATAAAGTTCAATATCGGACTTGTTAGCATTTTTATCATCAGCTGGAGGTCTAGAAAAGAAATCGGCAATTAAATTTAATTTTCCTGGCAAATATTCAATTTTACAGTATATAGGCAGAAATATTTAAAGCCCAAAGCTGAATTCTTTTGTTTTGCATAGGTGCTTCTAGAAGATATTTTAAAGGTTTTATGGTCTGTAATATATAGTAAACTCTGCATTATGTAAATAAACATCTAATTTTTGTAACGCATAATGAATACTGAATGCTTCTTTTTCTATGGTACTGTACTTTCTTTGAGATTCACTTAATTTATGGGATAAGAAGTATATAGGTTTTTCAATACCAGATTTGTCACATTTCTGACTTAAACATGCTCCGACCACTAAATCTGAGGAGTCCGTGTATAGAATATAAGGCTTATTTGGGTCTGGGAATGCTAAAAGTGGAATACGTGTTAACATTTTCTTTAATTGTTCAAAACTTTCTTGACATTCTTTTGTCCATTTAAACAAAACACGTTTTCTTGTAAGATTGATTAGAGGTTCAACAATTTTAGAATATTTAGGGCAAAATCTTCTATAAAAACCAGCAGCACCAAGTAAAGATCTGACAATCTTTAACACATTTTGGTACCGGAAGTGACCTAATAGCTTTTACTTTTTCTCTGGTCTGGTTTTATACCTTCATGATCAATTATAAAACCAAGGTACTTTGTTTGTTGCTGAATAAAACTGCACTTTTTCAGTTTAAGTTTTAATTTATGCTCTTTAAGCTTTGAAAATACTGTCTGTATATGTGATAAATGTTCATTTAATGACTTCGAAAATATTAGAATGTCGTCAAGATAACTGACAGCAAATGCCTCTAAACCTTGTAAGACATGTGACATGAGTTCTTGGAAAACTCCAGGGGCAGAAAACTAGGCCAAAAGGGTTCGGTTGAACTCAAACAAGCCTCGGAATGTCGTAAAAAGCCGTTTTTTTCCTTGTCTGATTCATGTACGGGTATTTGCCAAAACCCTGATCGCATGTCTAGTGTTGTAAAATATTTTGAAGACCCTAGTAGTGTTAAAATATCATCATTAATGGGAGAGGATATGATGTTGGCTTTGTAATTTTATTCAATTGTCTAAAATCAACACAAAACCGTTTACTGCCGTCACGTTTCCCGACAATAACAACAGGAAATGAAATAAGGGCTGTGACTTCTTCTTATAATATTAGCATCTAACATCTCATCTATTGCGTCACTCATAAATTTTCTATTGTTTAAAGGTGTGCGATATGGGCGTAATTTGATTGGAGGATGATTACCTGTTGGTATTTTCATGGTTACAGTATCTGTCTGTGATAATTCAGAATCTTTATTTGCGAAAATATTTCTATTTTTCCTTAATAAGTCTCTAACAATATTAAAATGCTCTGAAGGTGTATGAATATCACGTTCGAAATCGTTGTTAAGAGGGGAAGTTGTTTGAAGAGCCTCTGTGACCGAGTTAATGCTCTCAACTTCTGAATCTTTAGCAACTACTGAATCTCGTTTCAATTTTATAGTTTTATGTGTATTATTGACAATCATAATAGGAAATCTTCTATCAGCCGAAAGTTTCATAACAGAATTTGTTATCATAAGACCTGGTTCAGAAGCAATCATTCCAGTTTCTATACTTTTTAATTCATATAATTTATCATTTTCCAAGCCTGGATTTTGTTTTAACTTAGCAGTGCACACATTAACTGTTTGAGGTTTCAGAATAACATCCTGTTTTAATCTAACAATTGATGCAATATGAATATCTTCTTCGAGGGGTACATATGTATTATTAACTCTTAAGCAGCCTAAATCAAAATATAATCTAACGCCATTTTGTGTTAACCAATCACGGCCTAAAATAATATTTCTATTCATTTTAGAAACAACATAGAATTTTTGAGTTGTTTCTGTTTTCCCTATTTGAAAATTTAGATTTATATAACCATCTATATGTAAATAATTTCCGTCAACTGAACATAAATTTATTTTCTGTTTTATAAGTTGAGGGGGATTCTTTAATTTTCTATATATTCTGCGATGCAGAAGACAAACTTCAGCACCTGAATCTACTAACGATCTGTATTTATAGTTTTCTATTTTAATCAAACACGAATTAGGGCTTCCAGCTAATGCTATACTAAATTTTGGTATTTTATCGTTCCTGTCAATGACCCCTTTGTGACAGGAACTTGCTAGTTTTCCTGAAAATTTATCTTGTTTCTGTCGTAAAAATTTTGTTTACGACATTCTCGCATAATATGACCAAAATTATTACATTTCCAGCACTTAATCTTTGATTTCAAACTATTATTGCTATTATTTTTCCTAAATCGTGAAAAATTTTGTCGGTGAAATACAGAATATATTTCATTTTTCCTAAATCTACAACTACGCACATGGTGACCTGGTCTCTTACAGTACACGCAAAAATTTCTTGTATAATAATGATTAAAATTATTTGCTTTGTAATTATTGTATTTTGCGTGATTTTGAGAATTAGAAAATTTTACTCTGGCAGAAAATCTAGCTCTGAAATTCTGTTCATTCATTGCGCAAGTAATTGCTTCTTGTAAAGATTTTGGCTTTTTCTCTCATAAGTTTAAGTTTTAAATTAATTATGCGCTAAATTATCCGTAAACAATTCTACTAACTGAAGTTCAATTAAACTATTATCTCCTAGTTTATAATTTTCATAAGCGGTTTCAGCACAATTAATAAATTTTTCCCCAAAAATTTGAAACACTTTCTCCCAAAATCTTGTTTTAAATTTCTCAAGAGATAAAATTCATGATGTAAATCTTTAATTTCCCCAAATCTAGTACTTATTTCTTCTTTTAATTGTTCCCACGAATTACGGTGATTATCACGCAAATATCTACATATAAAATCGCTTACAGTCCCTTTACTTGATTGAAATGCGACTAATTTTATTTTATTATCATCCAAACCTTTTAAAATAGCATATTTTTCTATAGATTTTATCCAGTCATTAAAATATTTAGAATTTCCATCAAAATTTTGTACTATTTCTGATAAACCCTGTGTACCTATGATAGTTGAAATATTGTTCAATTTATCTGACAAATTTTCAAAAATTGTAGCTATATCTTGATCTGACATCTTCAAAATTAGCAAATTGCAGGTATATAAACGATCACTCACCTTTAATTTTCTATTTCAGGTACTTCGTTGTGTCCCGCTATCCAAAATCGTCGCTTCGACATCGCTGGTCTTAGGCGCCAAATCAACCGTTGTCGTATAACGGAGGAAGAACTCACGGATGTTACATACTTTTAATATACAAAATACAAACACACAAGTGAACGAGTGGAATACCAAAACTGAACTTCCCTTCCTGGACATTTGAGAATAGTATATATAAAGACAACCTGTCATAAGGACATTTTATAATGTATATAAATACACGCGTTTTAGAGTTACATATATAAATCATCTTGACATAAGCTAGTCCGCATGCATCCTGAACTATAATACTCATAAATCATGTCATGTTCCATAGTGCACATTATGAAATAAAAACCTTAATATATGTATATACATGTTGACTTGTCATTCTTTTTGAATATAGCATGTATGACTAATTAGCCTGTGCAACCAGCTATACGACACTGTTAAATGTTTGGTATAAATGCATTATTATAAAAATCTAAATAAGTGACGCATGCTACATGCTTAATTTTTATAAGAGTTGAGAATATTTTTCTATATATAAACTTGTAGTTCGACAAAATTTAAAAAGGGTAATCTACAAAAAATAGTAATAAAATAAACTTACTGCAGAATAAAATAGAGATGATACTGTCATAGGGTTGAATTATCAGATCAACGCATTATACACGTAAATGATATATACACACTTACACTAACTAAACATACACTATTTATAAAAAGTACCTTATCTACATGATTATATACACGTATCTACATTAAGATCAATCATACACTAATAACTATAATATAAAACATTCATAATTACATAATAATAAAGTATAATTTGAACACCAAACTAAAGTAGATAGTTTATAATGTAGTGGTAGCTTATAGTAAGTGTAGTCAGACCTCCTTAATACTTTCGTTCTTTACTGTATTTATTTCGATGTTTAACCTCCTCTCTATCAATAACAAATCAATAACCAATCACTATCGAGTAATCGATATCCGCCATATTTTGAAAACAAATGTAAACAGCCATTTATGCTATAAAAACTATTATCATCCTTTTTTGTAGTATTATTTATTGATATATCTACAGGTAAACGTTTATATTTAATGCCTTA